TTACTTACATGTTACTGGAAACACGAGAAAGAAAAAGTCTAAGCCAGTGATTTCCAGCTGTAGTTAGTGTTGAAGTTTCATATGTTGCAGCTCTGGATGTACTGAAGAGTCAAAACCGGAAGGAACTGTTCTACCACTTTGCTCCGGCTCTGATGCAGTTTGTACCAAAACAGATGGTCAGTGCTCTCATCAGTCAGGGAAGAGGTCTTAGTCCTGCCAAACTGTTGCCTGCACTTGTCACGGTTGATGAGTACCAGGTCAGTGTTCAAAGTATCTGTGACCTACGCACATTTAGTTTGTTCTCTGTGTGGGTACATTTGACATGATATTTTTGGGATCATACATACAGAAGTAATTTGTGAAATTGCCATATAGTATTTCATTTAGGATAAAGACATATGAAAAACTGTATGTTTATACTTGCTTTGGCTTTAAAGTGTGCAGTAAAACCACACATTTTGCTAACCATTGATCGTGCACTGTCTGTACAGACATAACACATTGTTTCCAACTAAGGCCTTTTTCAGCTCTCCCCTCCATCTTGATCTGTTCCAGGCTGGAGAAGCAGTCCACTACCTGGAGTTCTGTGTACAGACACTGGGATGTCAGCAGCAGGCCATACACAATTACCTTCTCTCACTGTATGCACGCTTCAAGCCTCAAAGCCTCATGAACTATCTGGCAATGCAGGGTCAGTAGTTGAAAGTACTCTGCACAAGTGCACATATGTTCATTCACAACTTTCTGACCACAGTAGACTGTGTTAATGCCATTTTACCATTTTTCCAAGTGGCCATTTTCCAAAGATTTTCTCACCAGAATTTTGTAGGTACTTCTTCGCTCTGCCATTTTAATTACATAGCTCTTCATAGTGTCTTCTGTTTCATTATTATAACATGAAGTGAGCTACATATGTCACTAAGTTTCTCATTATGCACCATCGTAGTCAGTCCTTTTTCTTCCTCCTCCTTAGTTTCAAAAAACTTCAGACCTCTTTGCTTTCAGGCATTTGTAATGTGTTCAGACCTCACAGTAAGAGATCACATACAAACTGACTGCCATAATCATTGTTTTTGGTAATAATTATTGAACTGAATATGAATCCATTTCAGAATGTGTGCTTCTCATACTTTCATCGTAAATGTAGTTTTTACTTGGAATTGTTCACACATACTTAAATTCTGAAATATTCTTTTAGTCTAGTTTCATTTCTGGTCTGTAGCAGAATGTTACTGTATTATTATGTATGCTATTTATATTTCCCTCCAGTAATGTAGCTTTTTTTGCATAAATGAGGACCTGATTTATGCCATTCAGTTCTTGTCCTTCCTGATAGCATATAGCAGAAAAAAATTTAAAAAGTCGTTTGAATAAAGCATCTCTTTGTTTTAGCTCATTGTGATTAATTGGAAACGTATCCTGCCTATATGGTAAATTTAATGGCTTCTTGATTTAGGTCAGGATGCCAGCATGGTGTCTTATGACATCCATTATGCACTGCGTCTGTGTCAGGAGAAAAACCTCACTGAAGCTTGTGTGCAGCTGTCAGCCCTTCTGGGACTGTGGGAATCAGCAGTTGACCTTGCACTTACCATTGATGTGAAGCTGGCTACGCAGACTGCTAGTTTACCGCAAAATGACCCTGAACTTAGAAAGAAACTCTGGCTGAAGATTGGTAAGTTGAACTTTGCATTAAGATGGTGATTCTCAACACATTTATTTTTCTCTCCATGCCTTTCGTTGAATATCATGACTATGTATGATTGATGTAGAAAGAAATCTGTCAGCATGTCCACTGACATCATCATATAAAAGAAACATTATTATTCCATCTATTCACCACTTTATAGGGTATTTACTTCTATGTACCCAAGACAAACCTTGCCCCTGAGGTACATAGTGCAGCAGCTATTTCCAAAATACATTTTGTTTTTAATATATGTTACATGTATTATGTAATTTTATTGTGAGGGATGGCTATATATTTTACAACGGTGTCTTTCGAATGTTGAATGAAGATCCTAAAATGGCAGTTTTCTGAAGTTCCCTGATGTTGAGTTCGCCCAGGACATTGGCCAAATATTTTCTGACTGACTTGGAGACAGTTCCAGTTGTTACTTTAATTATTAGAATTATTTTGCCTTCATTCTCCACATTTGCCGTATTTCAATGAGAAGGTCCTTGTATTTTAAGATCTTCTCTGCTTCCTTCTTGATTACATTTTTGTCAGTTGGTATTGCTATATCAGTTAAGGGACAAGTTCCATTTTTGTTTCGGATTATAATATCTGGTTTGTTATTTGGAATGGTTCTCTCTGTTTTGACTTGTTGGTTCCACAGAATAGGTATATGGTTATCCTGACTTGTCTCAACTGCCTTCGGGATGTGTTCGTACCAATTATTATTATTTAGCCTCTGAAAACAGTCCTCCTGTATCTGTGTTCATGTTTTCCTTACTTTGTTTTGTATCTTCCCTTTCCCCACTACAGCTCTCCATCTTGTGCCAGATCACCATTAATGTTTCCACCAGGGTGGGACTTCTTGTGACAAAGCCTATTCCATTCTTCTCTTGCTTCTCATAACTCCTGATCTAATATGCATGAATGAATTATTTGTGGACTGGAGTGTAGACGAATGCCCAAGGAACATGCAGTGCTATTAACATAGCCACCAGTTTGTTATATTCCAGCAAAGGCCAGTGTTTGTGAGACCTGATGTCAGTTAGTGTCTGGCTGATAAATAGAATGGTGAGCAGTTAGTTGTTTCTCGCCCCATAACTATAACTATATTAATGCCAGATGCATCATACCATCTTGTCATGAAGAAACACAGGAGGCAAGTGGACATCTCCATATTTCTTTTGATGTTATATTTATGAATTTCATATTTGAATAAAGCATATGAGGATGACTGTCGTCTGGGTTGTAGCTCCGTGTAGTCTGGTAGAAGTTTACGAAAGTTTCAGTGGTCCTTGCTGCCTCCATTGTCTGGGCACCCTGTCCACTATATATGTTACTACCAGATGTTGCAATTTATTCACATTAATTTTACATAATAATATAATCCATTATTTTAAAGGACAGAGGAAAAAACACATTATTTGTCAGGAAGGCAAACAGGTTTATTTATATTATACAGAACAAAGGAAAATATTTTAAATATTGTCATAGGTAGACATTTAGGTTTACTTTACACATCTCCTGTCACACATGATTCTGTTTACCAGCGGACCATGAGTTGTTTTTATTTGCCAATTAAAAATGTAACGCTGTGGAAGAAGACTGTTTTGCCTCATGTGTAATTTTCTGGTGTCCCACCTGTGGGGAAAGAATAAATTGATGGTGTGCTGATTAGCAGCACCAGCCTCATATCGGAGTATATTACAATAAGCTCATTCTGTGTATTGATGGACATTGAGCAATAATAGGTGATGCTACATTTTAGTATCACAGATGAGTTATTGGTAGAAGCCTTCAGGACTAGAGATATCTACCAGATGGTAGTGGCCAGTGGTGTGGCGATAGGGGCACCCAGAGGGGCAGTGGCTGCAGGAGTGTGTCCAAGGGCCCATGGAGCTACAAGAGGAGCAGCAATGGAAGCTGCAAGAGGAGAAGCAATTGGAGCTGCGAGAGGAGCAGCAATGGTAGCTGAAAGAGGAGAGGCAATGGAAGCTGCAAGAGGAGCACTGACTGCAGAGGTGTAGCCAATGGCCAGGGGAGCAGCAATGGCACTTCCCAAGGGAGCAGTGGCAGCAGGGGTTTGGCCAATAACTAGTGGAGCTGCAATGCTACGACGGCGACGGTTAAGGATGACAGTTTTGGTAGCAAGATGTGCAGCCTTAGCAATAGCAACTTCAGGAGTGTCAGCAATGGGCAGAGAGGGTCCAACAGGCAGTGCATTGCTGGCCACACGGTATCCCAGAGCATCAGCAACATAGTCAGTCCTCAAGACTTGGCCTCCAGGACTCACGTAGCTGAAGCTGCCAATCTTGTTACCAGCTGCGTCCTGTAACAGGCACATCATTGTATTTTGTCTGTCTATAAATATGATATGGGGAATTGCATGATTTTTTCTTCTCTCCCCACAAAAATACTTAATATTGGTTTTGTGAAAAACTTTTCTTACTATTAACGTTACTGTCTTGGTTAATGCCCTTCATGTTGGACCTAGTGTTAGGTGCTATGCAGTTACAGTTTATGGCCTTGCAAGAGAGCCCACTGTGCTGAAGGTATGAAGTAGAAAATGGAGTATTTTCCATATTCATACCATTTTTTAACATGTATGAATTAAGTTCAATAGAAGAACCAGCCTCTATGCAACAGCCACATCTAACCATTGCAGGCCTAGTACATACTTATATTTAATTATTTCTGACAATTCAGTATGAATTCTACAAATGTCTTGTTTCTTCTGCTTTATAAAATATGTTTTTGAAATTATCCAATTTTACTTCTTTAAGATCAGCAAAACACTTCTTTAGTCTTAAAAATGGTCTTGTTGCTGGAGAGAAAAAGTGATTTCCATTTGCAAGAATTTTTCAAATTATGTGCTTACCTGGATAGCATTATGGGTCTGAAGTGGCTCAGCATGTCCATAACTGGCCTGCCCAATTGCATCCTGAATGTGGTATTTGGACTGGGTAGCAAGGGGAGCACCAATTGACACAGCTGAAAGGGGAGTAGCAATTGACGCAGCTGTGAGAGGAGCACCAATTGATGTGGCTGCAAGACTGCTGATGTCTCCTGCCAGTATGCTAGGCTTGGCAAGGGCACAGGCCAATGTAGCTGTGAGGACAACCTGAGAATAACAGCACTGACAATTAGGACCTACATCATAAAACTGGAGAGAGATAAGCAGATTACAAGAAATACATTTCTACAGTCTTGAGAAACGAACAAGAAAAACAAATCCAGACCCAGAACGTTAAGCAAGATGTGAGACTAGAAACACTATGAGAAATATTGGTGAAAAAGGGGTACAGGATTATGCATGAACAGTTGGTGGTACTGAGAACTAGGTAGAAAGACCACATGAAGAATGTATAGAACAGATTAAAGAGTGGGTGCATACACAATAAAATTTCATTTAGGAGGAAGGAGAAGAGTGGAGAAGGCTTTCTCATCAAATGATCTGCCCTGTCAGAAAAATCAGTGAAGTATGGTTATTATGAAGCATGTTGCTTTCATACAATACTCAAAGGGTGATTGAATCAAGAGAGTTGAGGTTGTTGGGGATGTAGCACAAATGAACAGACAGACATTGCCAGCCCCATGTGCATTCAGTACATGCAAAGAATGCATAAAAGAAAAACTAAATATGTTGAAATAAAATATAGTCAGAAATACACGTAAGTAAATGGAGTACGGTATAAAAAAAGTGACCCTGCCCCGCTACAAATCAGCATTTTGTTTATGAGAGTAGTATCTTTAATATCATTTTCTGTTTATTTAAAATCTGAAATCTGATTTTAGTTATATTTGAGATAATTTCCTGGTTATTTTGTATTAATACAAAACTGGTTAATGTACTTAGTATTTAGTATGTGATCTACTCACCAAAAACTTCATCTTCCTGGCAAGTTCTTTGAACTTGTAGCTAAGAGTCAGTTATTGAGAACTGTGTGCTCTAACATGTAGGGACCTCGCCTTATATACACACACATTGGTTTGGGTAGGAGCTTGCCTGCAGTACCTACTCTTCCACGCCCATATATCAAGGCCAGTGCTCCTAAAGCCAGGACCTTGGGACCAATATGCTTGAACTTCCTAGTTTCTGCACCATTTTTGGGTCCATATGAACTTAGATGTATGGCATATCAGGAGTGGCCAATATTGACATGCAGTATCATCAGCTGAAGGAAGATCCGTACCAAGGAGTTTGGTAGTTGTCTCGTGTAGAATAAATAACCACTGATTCAGCTAGTTGTAAACTTCGTTTGTCTTTCACCTTTTGCATTTAGTATGATGTACAATCTTGGTGTGGCGAGGGTTGATTTTGGGGTCATTGTTGCTGCAAGGGTCCTAAAATTAGGCTGAAAACTAGAACTGAAATTGTAAGTAATGTCTGGTGATTTTATTGGGTTGTTACAGGTGTACCAGACTTGAAATTTTTTGTAATTTTTTTTTCAATTTTGTAAAAATTTGAAACAGGCAGGCATTGTTATTTAAATTTATAAACATTTCCAAATTCAAGTATTATACCTCAGTGCCATAGATTTTCATTGTCATGCTGACACTTAAATTGGCAGCCTGGGCTTCATGGGTTAGTTAACAGATACTTGTGGCAGGTGCAGTTTAAAAGTATTAAAAATATAGTAAATTCTTCATTATTATATGTTAAATTTGTAAAGCAGTGAAGAATATACTGCAATGGTTTCTTAACCTTAACATATAACATTAAGTTTTTAAATGTCTCCTGTAAAATTTTGGCATGAAACACACTGCCAGACTGGAGAAATTCATTTTTTAAGTGACCAGTATGCATAAACTGTCTCTCTTGAGCCCTATTTGTGGCATGGTGTAGTATTCTAACATCTGTAGTATGTAGGGGTACTGTGCTGAATATAGAAGGGCCGCATCCTTGTTAATAGTTTTTCCCAGAGTAAACGCTGTTTTGAAAATATAAAACAAATGTATCTAAACATTTTGCATAAGTAAAATGTGTGATCTATCCCATCTCGGTTTGTTATGTCCGTAAAATATCCCTCTTGAAATTGAGCAAGATTAGTTGTTGATACAGCATCATTTGAAAGATTTTATCAACAATCTAATTGTGCCAAATTTGGATTAACAAATAGTGTTGGTGAAGGAGAGCAAGAATGCCCTAGACTGTCATTTGACAGCTGCTAGGTGATTTAGTAAAGTGACCAGATTCCAATGGCTGATGCCAGACTGCCTAGTAGTTGCAACATTATTTTTTGACCTTGGATGTCGGTAACCAGCAGTGAGACCAAGTCTGCGTGTGTATTTGTCTGCTATCCTCTGATTCGTTTACCTTTTCTTTATTGCCATTTTATGTGTCATTTCAGTAGGGTTCATAATATGAACATGGAATGGAGAGATCATGTTTTTTGTTGTATTTATTATTATGCTTCAACATCAAAACTGTTCAGTGATTTTTATTAGATTTTTATACTAGTCATTTCAGACAAAAAGCTATGGGGCCCAATTTTATCTTGGTATTGCATGTAGTTTGCTCTACATGAAGCTTAAATGAACTTCTTAGCAGTTCGTAAATACCTCAGCCAGGATGCCAACAAGTCTCAGCTCAGATATGAACTGGCTGTCTCATGATTAATTCCCAGGTTATTTTGTCACACTTTTTTGACTGCCTTCATTTTATGGGAAAGATGAGAAATGGATAAAAAATTTGGTCAGAAAACCTGATTCGGTAAGCCCACTTGGAATACCTAGACATAGATGGGAAAATAATGTTAAATATATATATTAAAGAAATAAGTTGTGAGGGTGTTCACTGGATTCAACTGGCTCAGGATCAGTACCAGTGATTGGATCCCCTTGTGAACACTGTAATGAACCTTCATTTTCCACAAGGAAAGAGTCTTTGACTGGCTGATCAACTGTAAGCTTCTCAAGAAGGACTTTGTTCAATGGAATTAGTTGTATTATTCAGATTGAGTGGTAGGATGACTTGTGGATGATGAATCGCAAGGGGTGTGAAAGGGACAGACATACCCTGACTTAAGGCACATCGTTTTCCTCAAGGGACTGATGAAATCCATTAAACCGTCAGGTCGGCCGGTCTTCAGGCTCCGATTAAAGAAGCAGGAGCGCTAGTCATTCAGCTACGTTGCTGAGTAACTTCCTGCTCTCAGATACACTGTGTGTGTTGTAGCAGAAGCTATGAAGCAGGCACTACAGCAGTAATATAAAGGCTGGAGGTAACATGGCTCCACACCGTTTGGACTTTCACTTGACCTTCTGTGTCTAGGTCTTGAACTTGCCCCTTCCCAATACCACACGAAGGCAGGTTCTATGTTGAAGGCCTCCTGCACTACTTTGCAGCAGTGAGGATGATGACTGCTCAGTTTTCAGAATCTGTATGTCATTCATGGAGTTTGATACTTGTGACTTTGTGATCAGGTCTGTTCATCCACACATTTATCTGTGAAATATTCAGTGGATTGTGATGAAATATGGTGCTGGAGAAGGCAAGCCTTCAGTAGAAGTTATTGGTAGATTTAATTTTGGTCTGTAGCAATCAAATATAACCCCTATTATATATAAAGTCGTAAGTCTTTTCAAAAAGCAGTTCATTGGTCAATTCTTAAATGCATGGCAGTGTAAGTACCTCATTAAAATCTACAAGTTTTGCTTGAATATTTTTTGATACGGTGAATATTTAATGAAATACAAATAAAAGCGTCTGACTGTATACAGTGGGATTAGTTTTGCTGTAGTAGATTTGTGTCTGCATTAAATTAATATCCACATTAATGGTGCTGGCAAAATTGGAAAGAATGCATTTAGAAATCATGTATACTCTGTATGGAGTACATCATGAGCAATTTGGAGAATGGCATTAGAATTTATTTTACAGTGACAGTTTATGTGCTTGGGAAGTGCCCTGCTTAAATGCCATTTATAATCCTGACTGGGTTTTTGTGGTTTTCCTCAGTTCCTCCAAGTGTCTGCAGGTATAATGCTTTGAAATGGCCTACAGCCACCACCTCCTTACAGAGAGAATCTCACCATTGAAACTGCATTTTCAGGAACTGGAAGGTTCATTACCATGTTCAGGAGAACCCACTAATGAACCACATCCTAAACCAAATGAATCCAGCCCACACCTGCACGTTCTGTTATGGTCCATTTCAATATTGTCATCCCATTTACATGCAGGTCTCTTGCCTCAGGGTTTCAGACCAAATTGTATGCCTTTTTCATCTTCCCAGTTGGTGCTAAATGATTTCATTGCCCTGATAGTGTCTGGTGAAGAGTACAAATTATTTCCATTGTCCTGTTAATTCTCATTCCTAGGTCCAAGTATTCTTCTCAGCACCTGGTTCTGTAACAACCTAAACCTTTTGGTCTTCTTGTCAGGGCAAGAGACCAGTTTCACATCTGTTTAAAGCAACAAGTAAAATGATGGTATTCTTAGGTTTTTCCAGGAAGACAAAGAAAGCAGAATACTATGTTAGTTCTGTTTTCCTTCAACCATCTGTAATTTGTGTGTTCTCTCTACATCACTCCAAAATTGAAATAATTATTGTGTACGATATATTTCTAGTTGACTGGGAAGTGTTCAAATCTTGTTAGGGGACTACATATTTTCTTGTTACTGTTACCAGACCTCATATCTGACAGATAGGAATACCAGGGGCTCTTTTCTGGGCATTAAATGTGGCTGGGGCGTGATGTCCGTGATTCGTGTCCATCGAGTACCAATGTTATGGACATGTAGATCATCGTTTCTACATCCACTAGCTTTTATACCCCATGTAATATACAAAGATAGGGCTCAGAAATGGAGCAGACAGCTGAGTTTTTAAGTGTTTATTTCTAAATAAAATTAGACACATTGTATGCACACAAAACACTCATCATCCACCCACACACCAATTACACACAAGTTCAGTCATAGCCAGTGTTCAGAATCTGATGGGCCAAAGGATGAGGTACAGTACAGTCTAGTCAATGCGGTAGGACACAGCATGTCCTGGTGTGTTGACTACGTTGGTCAAGATGCCAGGTCGGACAGCTGCCGTATGATATGAAAGGGGGGCAGCATAGGCTACTGGGGCAACCAGCGGGGTGGTGGCAGCGGGGGTGTGGCCAAGGATCTGACGCCTGGCACGATGAACGATGGCACCGTGGGTAGCAACAGACAAGGAGGGTCCAACAGGCAGTGCATTGCTGGCCACGCGGTATCCCAGAGCATCAGCAACATAGTCAGTCCTTAAGACTTGGCCTTCGGGACTTACGTAGCTGAAGCTGCCAATCTTGTTACCAGCTGCGTCCTGTAACAGACGAAATGAACATGATGTACAGTTGATGCTTGTCACAGTTTGTTGCTTTTATTAACCTACTTCTCTCTCTTTATAAGGCTGGATTTCTGTACTTAACACGTACTTATGTATGCCCCCTCCTCAATAACTTTTGAATCAACTGACTGATGTTTAAAACTATTACATTTTAATTTTGTACTATGAATATTATCACTTTGGTGATTATATGAACTTCTGAAGTGGGAATGATACTAGAGTCATATATATATATATATATATTATATATATATAATCCTGAAATTGTATTTACTTGATGCAGTAATAGATCTTCAAAACAAGCAACTTCTGTGTGTCTATAGAACTTGGCAGGTTACCATGCAACACCTGTATTTAGAGCTGTATTTGGTGGTTATAACTTTTGAACTGTTGGTGCTTGAATGTGTGCAATTTTACAGAGCTAAATCTTGAAGGTGTTAACGCATTTTTAATATGTTTTAAATTTCAAATATGACAATGGTGCAAGTTTTTAAGGCATATGTAGCATGCTTGAAATATGTTCTAGTAGAAATGAAGCACTTAATTGCATAATTATTAATTTATAGTTATTGCTAACCATGATACTGAAAGACATGAAAGAAAGCGGGTAACATATGTAGGATTTGAGGTTTCCGCGGTGTTACAACCCAGAAGACAGCCATCTTCAGTCTGCATACATTTTCCCAGAGCATGTCTTGTTACAGTATGCTTTGTTGTGATAAAGGTTTATGAAATATGTCTCCCACCCACCCAGAATTATTGCTACTTCAGTTCAGAATTATTTTGTGTACTGGGATGGTCATCTCTCTTACCTCCAGGCCCCTTGTTGCAAGCTATGAAAAACTGACAATCTGTTATATGAAAATGTATGATACCTCACTATTCAAGATAAGATTATACCAAAAATTGAATGTGTTGTGTTGTCGTGCTATCGGTTAACATGTAAAGGAATTACATTCAAACCATTGACCAGATCGGGTTGTGGAAAGCGTAGCAGATTGTGCACTTCTGGCTAAATCAATCCACAATCCAATGACAGGGAAACAAATGGTTATAATTGTATCTTAAAAGCTATTTGGAAGCACTGAAGAAAACTTCAGAGTATGTAGTGTACTAATGCAAAACCCTCAGCATATAAGATGTATTCTGTACCAGTATTTAATTTATGCTGGTATACAAATTCTAGTTCACAGACATGCATGCGCTCATACACATGCTCACTCGTTGTGTTTTGCCACAGCTGTAAAAAATGACTATTTTACTGGTGTTGACTTCTTGTTATCTTGTAGTGGCTAAATAATGTGTGTTAAACCTCAGTACATTTTTTCCTCTGCCCCTTTTTGGCATTAAATTGCATGGCACATGAAACTGCAGGGCACAGCCCTCAGAATACCCACTGCTGTCTTTCTGATCTTGGAACTGCTGCACTGGACAGTATATTGTTAATGCACCAAGAACTCGCTGTGAATGATCAGAAATAGGCATGAGAACCTAATCTGTCTCTGAGAATTTAAGAATAGAGAAGACCTCTACATGTAATAAACATATTTTTACCTGAATGGCATTGTGAGTCTGGAGGGGCTCAGCGTGTCCATAGCTGGCCTGTCCGAGCACATCCTGGGCATGGTACTGGGTGCGGACAGATACGGTGGCAGGAGCGGCATAAGCCACAGGAGCTGCATAACCCACAGGAGCTGCATAAGCCACAGGAGCAGCTATGGCAGGAGCAGCATAACCAAGGGCTCCTGCAGCGAGGAGTCCGGGCTTAGCAAATGCACAGGCCACAATGGCACTGAAAACAACCTACAAGTGAAAAAGATGTTACTGAGATGTCTGGACGTGGAGACTAGAGGAAACATCCTCTGCACCTGTCAGAGGTCGAACCTCAGTCATCCGGTCACTGTGCCGACTAAGCTGTCCTGGCTCACATTTAATTAAGTACAAGAAATAATAATTTATGTTGTTTGCACTGTGATATCTGCAATAATCAAACACCAGGGCCATTTAGATATGAATGTATCAAAGAATTTGTTTGAAAACTGTATGCACTTCTCCATTGCTTGTTGATCCCTTGCCTTACCAGGATCTTCATGTTGTTGGTGGTTGAGCGTAAAGTGCCTCTTGGTCATCAGTGCTATGTTTATATACAGGATTGGCTTGGCTACACCCATTTCTCAAGGTCACTGCCACAGAGCAAGAGTGGCACCAGAGTGTCTTTTTCCTCCTGCATTAGCAGTTTGGTACTGTTCACAACAGTACTCTTTTCTTGTTTCCTTTTTCTGTCTTATTTATTCTATTTCCACCTCTTTGTCCTTAATTTCTTCATTCCCTTGTGTCCTCCCTTTTTGGTGTAATGCTTAGCTTTTCTGCTTTATATCTGAAAGGAACCCAGTTCAATTTTTGGCTGGATTGCTCCATTCTGATTGAAGTTTTTGTGGTCTTGATTGGACCTAATGTAGTACCTTGAAATTACTTCCTCAGCTGTTCTGTGTAGTTAATCATTCATTATTGTTATGATGGTCACCATTGATGGTTGCACCATGGTGGTGCATGGTTCTGTCTGTGTGTACTCTTATTTTATTTTCTTGGCCTCCTCAGCGAACTCATATTTGTCATCTTAATTGTAAGTTCCCAGAAGAATCCAGTTGTTCATTCCACTCTATCTTTTGTTTAACCAACTTTTCTTTTGTTTCTTCCTCCAGATATTGCCTAATATGTTTTGTCTCATCCTGTTTGCTGCTTAGAAGTGTAATCTTTTCTGCTTGTCCTGAATTTTTTACTGTAGTTATCAGCAGTCCCACATCACAATCAGAAGGTCTCAGGTTCAGTTCTTAGCTGACATACTGGCAACTCTGACTGAGATTTTAATTGGATTTCTCAGTCTGTCCAGGCGTGCTAGGCTAGTGCCTCAAATTATGCCACAATTGCTACCTTGAGATTTTCATTGGTTTTCTCAGTCTGTCCAGGCATGCTAGGCTAGCGCCTCAAATTATGCCACAATTGCTACCTTGTACATCTTGTTTAATTCATAATTACTGTAATTTAATGCACTGTAGCCAATGCAGATGAAGAAGTGTAGTTAAATGAACCAGTAATGAGTCAGTGTTACATGTTATTTGAATCAGTTGTACAAAGAATCTGTTCACATTGTTTTGTGTTCTAGCATTCTGAGAGGTCTCAGGCCCCTTGCATCTTGGTAATGATTTCTGTTTTTGGTATATGAAGTGGAAGCTCATTGCAGTAATAGTTATATAATTACATTTTCAGTGTGCATGTGAGGAGCTGCTATGTGTACCAGCCTTGATCTTGGACACAGCTAAGGACATTGCAGTTTCTTTGTTTTCTTCATGCCCTTGCAGTGAATGTCACTGTTTTTAAGACCTTCAGATGGTAGGATCTTGCATTGCATCAGTAGTTGCATTGTATCATTACACCCTGAATGCACCAGTTGCCATCTCTGACTTCTAAAATACTTACTGTTACTTTGTAATTTTTCACTTCTGGTAGTGGGGCTGAATGATACATTATTCCAGAAGTTCCCTGGAATTACCAAAAGATGTGCATCTTGTAGGCCTCGTAATGCCATAGCCTAGTGACAGTATTGACTGAGCTGTCCCAGCTCCCTGAATATAACATAGACAATGGAAAGTTCTCAAATTCTGTTATCTTCTGGTTATGTAGAGTTGCTCATTTTCTTCTGCTTATTGCAACAACCACACTTGAGCCACTCTTGTTGACAGCATCAACTTCCTTGTACTGTACTTTACAGTATTGTCTCTCCATGTAACCATGCATCCTGTTCTCACTGCCCTCTACATGTCAGTGGTTTGTTAGGTTGGTAGAGGAGCAGCAATAAGGCTGCGTTCTTGTGTCCATCTCGTGTGTATATTATGAAATTGCAACTGTTGTGCTTTAAGCATTAATGATATCCCACACCTGATTATGAATATTATTAGATATTACATTGCTTTTCAGAATATTTGGATGTGCTTAGGTATCACGCATAATTTCAAACTCACTTGTTTTCTGAAACAATTGTTAACGTATGCTGAATGGATAATGAGATGTTCATAAACTTTAGGTGATATTTCAGTTGAGTACCTAATGGAGAGATGCTATGTGAGGACTGAGACCTCTAGAATAAAATAAGAGAACTATGTCAAAGCACTTTGACACAAAGACGTGGGAGTTGTGGATGTCAAGCTCCAGGAGCATTGCACCCTGGTCCCTTTGCACGGGAAAAAGTCTCTGGTCTTTGGTTGGTGGCGCCCAGAGCCATTTTGAACATGGCGAAAAGAAGATCTCTGAACCCCAGGCCTTTACTATGTGGCATATCTTTCAATTTTTGGTTGACTGGATAGTTTAGTCAGTCACTTGGCTGCTACTTGGTTAATTACATACAGAGACTTCAAATTTCTGGGTGTGGCTACATGGCCAACCTTGATCTGTGAGTCCTACATACTGCAACTGTACATTATACTGTTCCTGCATCACATCCTAGTGGTTCTTGGTTTACATCCCTGATTGTGACTGGCTGTTATTAGTCCCATTAGCCACATGTACTGGTGTAAAAATTAGTGGCATGTTTCCATGACATCTCAGAGTTTCTGTTATTGAAAAGTTGCAAATATTCAGTATGTGATTCTGGAAGATAATAAGAGAAGTAATAATTTCAGTAGCTGTGTTAAAATAGGAAATACATTCAGAACAGAGGAGACAAGGCTAGTAGAGAAGAGTGATTCTAATTAGATGCCTTGAGTTTACCTTTTAAAGAGTTAAAGCTGGCATTATCCGCTTGTTCGACATCTCATATTTGCAATTTGTTTATCAACGTTAAATAGTCTGACACACATAGCAGCAGTGTTAACAAACATTGGCAGGATCAGAAATATTTTAATTTGGCCAGAGAACATGCATACTCTGTCTCCTCTTATTCTTCTCCTGCCTTGTTATTCTGTCTGCTTCACTTATAAGTTCGTTTTGTTTTGTGTAGCATATATACCTTCTTTATTATTGTCAATCTTTGTCCCCATTTATTTTCAGCATGTTGCAGCTTCTGTGCATAAAGTAGAGTAGGAACTGCCAGAAGGCTCAGAATGTATTTCTGTCTAAGGGAACTGAGCTGTATGTTGTTGAGTAGCCCTGTAGCTGTTCACAGTCCAGGATCTGCTGATGGAGTGGGGGAACTGGTATGTGGCCTTGCCAGGAGGAAGCAAGGCTGTGTAGCAGCAGCAGCTCTGTCCAGGTTTGATGTCCGGCCACCACAGAAAGGTCTTGAACCTCACATGAGTACATGAAAGCATATTGTAGTTCCTTCATTGGTTGCAGAATTCTCTACCTGTTATTGGACCTGAAGTTTCATTACCGTGTTCACAGCGGTCTGTCATTGTCCCCTGTCCTGAGACTGATCTGTCCAGTCCACACCCTCATGATTTTATCATTTTAATAATATTTGGTGAAGAAACCAAATTATGAACTTCTTCACACACCCTTAATATCAAGTCTATAAAAGTTTGTAACAATGGTTGATTCATTATACCAATGTTGTGGTGGACATGTTCATTGCCTGAGATACATTTGAAATGTATGTATTGGCAGTTGGTACTGCTTCTATCTTTATTGACTGGCTGCAGTTATACTGACATTTTTATTGCCTTTATTATCCTGATTGGCGGCAACAGTGAGGTTGCCACCCTCGAATAGTAACCATGAGACCACTGCTGTACTGTGATGGTGCTGAGGAGAGGAGAGAGTGTGGTGCCAAGCGTTACAGGAGAACATCACAAACTTTTGTTGGGAGGAGATTGATTAGTAGATACCAGTGAGAGAAAAGATTATATTAAAGTGGGCACTAGAGAATTAGGTTTGGGAACATTTGTAATGACATTAAGGGCCCATTGGGTTCTGTATCAGCAGTGAGTCACTTGCTCATCATGAGATCTGTTTCTTAAGGAAAGCCCTGTGCCTTATAATTTGTTATGTAGGTAGTTTGATTTGTTAGTTGATCAGTTGGTTTATTGGGTTGTTGGCCTGTTAATTTATTTCTTTGTTATTTTCTGCTTGATTAGTTTGTCAGTTACAAATATGTACTTTGTTAGGTTGTTCATTAGTTTTGCTGTTAGTGCTGTAGTGAAACACCTACCATGGAAAGTTCTTCTGCAGTGAAGCATCAGACTGCTCCAGATCTCAATTTTCACTCGGGCTTGTAATGTTTTTCCCTGTTCCAGCAGTAGTGCATGTAATACTTTTAAATTACAAGAAGGAGATAATTGGTTTTAATCACAGCTGAGGGACTGATTTACCCAACTAGAGTTTTCCTCATTTCTTGCAGCCACATGCAAGGGTAGTTCCATCCTGTGCCATCCCTTCATTATCATCTTCTCATCTCATTTGAGACTGTGGAATCTCTGCCATTAAGTAATGCAGAAACCAGCCAGTATGCAGGCTTAGTCATATAAATTAATGACAGGCATTTTAATATTGTTTAGCCCCTTCATCTGCCATTCAACTCACAATTCACTGTATCTTGTTAATTGCATGAGGGAAATGTCAAATGTGTACAGAACTTTGGTCAGACATCTTGGTGATATGGGATGCCTAGGCTTAGATTGGAGGAAGATATTAAAATGGATTCCTGAGAAATAGGACATACAGCTGGAGACTGCGTTGAACTGGACTGGGATAGGACCCGGTGATGAGTTATGAGCAGAGTAGTGAACTATCTGAGCAACTGTGAGTTCTTCAAGGAAGACGCTGCATTCTGCTGTGGCAAAGAGTCACATATTTCAGAGTAAAGCATTTTAGTTCTGGTGAATACCAGCAGAGGTAATAAGTGCCATGCTGTGTTTGTGTAGCCAAACACGTGGTGCGGGAGAAGGACGACATCCAGCAGGCGATGCAGTTTTTGCAGCAGTGTGAACTCATCAAGATTGAAGACATCCTGCCATTCTTCTCAGACTTTGTCACCATTGACCACTTCAAGGATGCCATATGCACTTCTCTTCAGGTAACACCTCGCCCTTTGTAATGTGCAAAGTTGGAGTTGTAGGAACCAAAACAATCTTAGTGTAAAATGTCTGTGCCAAGTCTGTAAGAAGGTTTCTTAAGATGGACATTGTGGACAGATTGAAATCCATAACCTCCCATTTGCATTTTCTTCTTGCAACACTTTGGGTGTTAATTCATTCACACGCTGTGTTCTGTTAGTCTCATGCTCATTTTGTTAATGAATTTGTAATCCCGTTGCTTGTTTAATATTGTTTTAATGTCAAAGGTCATATAGTATTGAATAGCAGGATTATTATTGCTAGTGAGCAAGGAAGGGCTTGGAAAGAATCAGTCATGGCCTGTTTTAGTGAATTTATTTGCAGATCTGTGAAACAGTTTGACCTGGCGTGCAGTATTGCCAGAACCTTACAACATATTGCATATGGATAAGATGTGATAAGTTCTTCTGCTTACAGGAGTACAATCAACACATCCAGGATCTCAAGGAAGAGATGGAGGAGGCAACCAAGTCAGCACAAGTCATCAGGGAGGAAATACAGGCATTCAGGAACAGGTACAGTACCATACAATACAGTTTCTTCCCCCGTAAAAGTAAACACAGCAAGGTACGACGCTTTTCATTTAATTTGTGTACTTCCTGTAAAGCCTGTGTATCATATGATCGAAAGTGTTGTAATTATTCTAATTATTGAACCATGTGTACTATTTAAAAGTTGTTGTTCTTTTTGAACGTTCCTCTCCACAAATTCCAGTCATTTCCCTGAAAGGTTTCTATTTTCAAGGAAGCAGAGAATTCACAAGCTGTGATGTATGCAATACATATTCAGTGCTTAACTTTGAACCTGTCTGAACACATCACCAGTTGATTGAAGTTACCTCTAGTAGGTGAGCAGTGGGCAGGTAACAGTGTCATTGCACAAATTGTTTTTCATAATTTCAGTTCAGACATCTGAAGAAATTGTTATTAATTCTTTATTATTCTGACCATACTCTCTGTAAATGATTAGAACTTAATCAAAATTGTGTTTTTCGACCTTCATAAAAAGCTGAAGTTGGAGTGGTCAATTGCAGCCCCCGTTCGTCTGCATAGGTACGCGTCTGTACAGGCACGAGACGCGTGTTCTGTGTGTGACCTGCAGCTGCTGATGCGACCTTTCTATCTGTTCCCCTGTGGTCACCACTTCCATTCTGACTGCCTTCTAACTGAACTGAATCCTATGCTGCCACCAGGCAAGAGGAGCAAACTGCGAGACCTGCAGGTATGTTTTTTGTGCGTGCGCGTGTGTCTTAGTGAGGCGTGGGCATGAGGTGAAGGGAGACAGAAGAAGAAGAAGAATAGAAGAACTTTAAGGCTAGATTATTAGCTTGATACACATAAGTACAGGAAAAGAGGAATATGAGAAATTGTGTTATAACATAAAAGCTTTTCCGGTTTACCTCTGCCCAGGTTGTTATGTTCCCATAACCAATTTAGTGCAAAATGGACTATTTTCAGTAGAAATGTGTCGCTTGACAACCATTTAATGCATAAAGCGATCACTTTGCAGCACCTCAAGTGAAATTAATAGAACATTGTTCAGTGTGAGAATATATAAAATTTCCATAATAGTTAAGCAGTTTCATTATTCAGCACAGATTTCTTATAAAAGAAGTGAAGAACTTTCTGTAGTTACACTTAGGAAGCTGAATATCGGAGGCCAAAAACAATAAGGAGATCAAGGAGGTGCTGGAAAAGGACTTTAATGCGAAATCACCTTATTGACAAAGACAAGATGGTGATGATTACAATGGTTCATGAATTATGAGTTTGGAAAAGAACAGATGTGGAGGAAGTTTAATAACATTGTATGTAATTTTGTCTCTAGAGGCAGTTGGCCACGTTTTCAGCGCGGGATGACAATGTGTCTGTGGGATCAGCTACGATGTCAGCACGAGACCAGATCAAGTGTGACATTGACAGCATCATCGCCTCTGAATGTCTGTACTGTGGTGAGATGATGATCAGGTATATAGGATCAGTATTTGAATTTCTTCCTAAGGTGACAGTAGTGTGCTAAAATTATTTGCAATAAAGGAGGTCATAAATCTGGACCAGTCACACTGTCTTCCTTAGAAGGCAGGTGTTATGTGCCAGATGAGTGGCTGTCATCTTTGTAAGAGGAACTCGGCTGCATGGAATTGGTTAATAAATAATGCTGGTAGTGTCGGAGAGTAAGATTCAACACAGAAGGCAGCATTGGATGAGAAAGTTCACATATTGCATGAAATGTTTGGTGTTATTATTGTTTGAAAGAAATGGCAAGCGCTCTGCACATCACCAAGTGAAACAAACAATGAGATAGACCAACATTTTGTTGTGCTGACATAAATGTATGTATTTCTATATTAATTCATAATAATATAGTTTTTGATAACTTCACCATATAAGTTGTAGTCTTACTGTTGTTTGTACCATTTGCTTATTTCAGAGCAATCGATCAACCATTTATAGAAGATGAAGACTATGAGCGGGTGATGAAAGAATGGGAATGAGATACGCTGCGGCAGCACAGTTTTATCTGTATTCCGCATCAGCATTTGAACCTGGTACATGCATCCATGTTACCATGATATTAGCTTGCAGTAGGCTTATAAGTGTATTTTGTATATATTTTGTACAGTCGACGTAAAGGAGGAGCTCAGCTCGAAAGTGTTCAATAATTGATGTACATTCCTTTTAAATAATTAGATTTGTTTTCATTTTCAGTGTTCCAAAATCCCCACTTTCTACTGTTAAATCAGCAATATAAAAACTGGAGATGGAGGAATATAATTGAAAGTGTATTTTTCCTACAAAGCAGTTAACCCATTGCCATATTAAGTTCTTGAAAATTAAACCAAAGATCTGAAAATATTTTGTTATTTAACAACACTGTCACAAGCTCAAACTTTTTAGTATGAAACCATAAGTTGATTAATGAAGAATGAATTGAAAAGGGTATGGGAGGAATTGGTTGTGGTCTGATTTAGCTACTACCCTGGCATTTTCCTGAAAGAACCGAGGTAAGCCATGAAACTTGTCAGTCGACATAGCTGATCTTTGGCCTGAGATTTGAACTTGGGACCTCCCAAGTATGAAGAAGGAGTGCTAACCACTTGGCCCTTATTTTCATTGATTTGAGTTATCCATTTTTCTACAGCATTCAGAGTATACCTGTCACACCAAATTCCACCATCTGATGAACATAGCACTCTCTAGCTTCCACTAAATCTCTTGTAATAAATTTTTTTTAAAATTATAATTCTGCAGGGAGGTGTATATAAGCTTTCAGTTTATGTATGACTGACCATAACTAATTGTGGTAGTTGAACCCAGAGGTTCAAAGTCACTAATAAGAAAGCTTACCGTTGGATACGTCATAGCATAGATTTACATACTCTGACAGTACTAGGTAATGTGAAGTTCCTTGGTGCAGTACATTTAATAAGTGTTAATCAAATTAATGAATCAGTCAGCAAGTCCACTTTAAGAGTTGTTTAATCTCCAGCCTCAGTTGTATTTACTGTGGTACTGTTATAATCACGTGACTGTGAAGACACACTGGACCACTTGCTGATAGTAAATGTCTTGCCGAACTGCACCAAGAACAGTGTTGTTATACCCGTCACAATACAGTGGCTAGGCCAAAAAATCCAGACGTGTGGACAGGATCATCAGTGAATTGACAGATACTGAGCTCCAGCTCAGCATCAACAGAGAGGGCTAGTTCTCGCTGTGCAGGTCATAGAAGCCCCTTCCTTATTTGCATTCTGGAAGAACAGAAGAAAATTATCACATGACTCAGTCTCCCTGGCCTGGTCCTCCTCCTAACTCTTTATAAACCATCCACTTCTTCACCCTTGTCATTTCTGCCCTGATGATGGAGGCACTATGTTCTTTAAAAACATTGGTATACAGCCAAAAAACTACAGAGTATACCAAAGCAGAAGACAATAATTTTGTTCACTTCACCATAAAAGCTTTAAATTCTCTATTTGCAGTCCAGAGTTGAATTGCATCAGTGCAACGTAAAGATTGAGACCTAGGATTGAAGGATTTTCCTTGGGTTTTTATGACTGATGTTTTACTTTGTAGAAAACATTATTTGCACAGTGTTTAAAGAAAGCGTGTTATGGAACATATCAAAGTTCAGTGACTAAATGAAGAGTTTAAATGAAAATAATGAACCATCTTTTGCTAGCAGTTAACTCTATAGAGGACCTGCACAGTTTCTTTAGAGAAAATGGAGGGGTAAAGTTATATTTACTGTGATGATGCATTTTAATAAATCCAGAGTTTATTATTATACAAGTTAAGCAAAAATGTGCTTGAAATATTCAGGGAAATTGAGTATTTTCTGAAAGTAACCTGTGTTTACCAGCAGATGATGTCTGAATCTGTCCTTTATAATCAGATTTCCACTTTTCATTGTTTTCCAGATTGCTTGTAACGTGCAACCTGCCAGTATCCATGTTCCTTTCCTCTCGTCTGCACGTCAGCATCATCATCAACAAAGGGTAAGACGTCAAGTTTTCATAGTTTTCTTTCATCCTATGTACAGCAAATTTGTTTGTCTTGGAACAAACCTCTTGAAAATAATCTTCAGTGCTTTGGAGGAGAAAGTTTAATATCTTCAGTAAAAACCACTATTATCAAAATACAGTAAAAGTACCAATAAACTGTGTTGTATGATATTTGATGTGTGCTGGAAGACTGATCGTGTTATGTCTTAAGACATTCCACACGCTTACCACCTCGTATGGGTTCCAAGGCAGCAGCAATGTCTGCTTCTTGAAGTTCTTTAAAAATTGTATGGGAAATGTGAAACTGTAGATTTGGGGTTTCCATGGCCGTGAGGAATCATCTGGGTTTTGATGCTGTATAACAGCACATTGGTACATGCCAAGTCTACAGTGCCGAAACGCAGATTGTTGTCATCTATACCTGACATTGTACCAAAACTGAAAATTTCCCCACCCCATCCTCACAGGCACTGTACACATAATTTTGCACAAAGAAGCAGCACAGTGTGATTATTTTGAAATTGATAAAAATGTGCTGTTGCCACAGAGCTGTATCATGAGGCTGGGTAGCTCGGTCAGTGGCTACTGACTAGGTGATCAAGATGTTAACCCTGGCAGGGACAAATATTTGTCTTCCAACATCTGTGTCCAGACCTGTTATGGGTCTCACCCAGTTTGCTGTGCAGTAGGTAGCAGGGTTCCATTTGTATGGGGTAAAGCACAGCCTAGGCATGAAATTGGCCACCCCCAACCAGTGCCGAAGGCACGAATGAGTAGGAGTGAAACTTTTTTCCCAAGGCGCGTCTGTGTCCAGCTTTATTGTACAGATCGGCACTTTTTCATAACCTGAATTTTTAAACGTCCCGCCACATCTCATTTATCTGCAGACTCGTTGATTGTTATTTCGGCCGCTGATGGCGCCAGAATTGTGGGTTTCCCTGAACCTCCGTGCTTTCTCAATTTGATGTTCGTGTTTCCCCACATAAGTCACGTGGTTAAAATGCTCGTTCTGGTGCGTATTTTGGACATGTTGACGACTGGATGTTACAATTTACAAATCAAATAGGAGTGCCCCTTGAAGTGTCTGTTACATTGTCCAGATGTTGGAACGGGAAAGTGGTAGGCGGCGTATTTTCGTAGTATCTGTACTAAAGAATCAGCCATGGCGGTAGTGGAAGGAAACAAATGTGCTCAGACGTCACTTGGAAAACTGATAACGGTGAACACCCGGAAGTTAGAAGTGTGTGGAAAAATGGTGCTGGAATTTGGACATACTCGTAGTGCTGATACTAAAGACAGAAGAAGAGTGCCTTCGCTCTATTTTCAGTCTGCGTATTGCACATTATGTTCTAGTTAGTGTATGTATAGACGGCCCCGCGCTGCAGGGCATCACGCAGAAAGTATTATATTAATTTTACTTTAATCCCAGAAAACATAAGTAACACACTTTTAATGTATATACAACTTGCCACAGTGATATTATACATACAGATTGCCAGAGAGGCCTCACCTAAACTGCTATGTCCCAGGTCGCACAACCCTCGAGGGACATTTATGCATATGGACATATACAATTTGTTTGTTATTAATTTCTGTTGTAAATTTTTGGAGCTGTAAAGGGAATGGTGTTGTACTTCTGTTGTTGCACATGACATATCGTAATAAAATTATCAGTTTTCAAAAACTACATCCAACTTAATAACCAGCCCAATGCTTCATTTATTTTTGCTCCATATTTTCCATATCTTGAAACAAAAGGGACCGCATTGAGTACAAGGAGGAATGGTTGTGGTCAGTCGCTCCCAGCCTTTTTTATGCAGGGTATTAGAAAATTGATGTGTCTTGGCAGACCAGTTAATCATTGTTCTGTGTTCATGTATTTCATTTATTCCATAACCATCATGGCACTTCAGTACTATTTTTTTTAATTCCAGTAGTTTTATGGAATACCTGTTTCAAAATAATAGAGATCACACTTTCAGAACCCTTAGCCTAGATGGCCCAATATATCTTTAAAAATATTGGTTTGTGTGGGTTTATAGTAATTCAGTTCATATATTTTTTGTTATTGTATATATGCTACATTATGAGTTATCCAAACCAACTGAAACCATATTTAATGCAAAGTTGAAGATTCACAAATACATACAGATGCATCTCATAGATTGTGGTAACCAGGATGTGGAACATCACATCAGAATACACTTAGAAATACAATGTGGTTACAAAAACATGTCACAGATCTCCACAAATGTTCAGTGGAGACAGATGATAGAATGAGTTATTACACCTTGTGTACTGGGAACAGTGGTTCAGAAAAGTTACTTTAGCAATTAAGTTTGTTTATCTGTTGAGGATGTGCTTATTATAGTGAATTGAGCACAGGCTGTTGCAGTATAATTTTCTATGAAGTTTGCTGATTAGATAAGTGTCCTGATAACAGAGACTGAAATGGAAATGTGTAAAAGTGCTTCTCCTATCACTGTGCTATTTAAATTAATTCACTGTATCCCAACCAGTTAATTTACATTGCATTTTGGTTGTTTTTTTAATATGGTCCTTACAAGTGGTTAAAAAATTCACTTCAAATCTGTGCAACTACATTTTATTCAAAAGTATACATATACATGTGTACAAGATTGTGACTCTTAAGTGTTTTGTTATCTACAAGTTTAAGTTAATTTGATCACCCTGATATTGTCACCAGAAGAGAAGTTTGCTTCTTCCTTAAATGCTTTTTAATTTTAATCATATTATTCTTCTTTACAGATTTGGTGTTTCCCATAAGTGTTTTGCATCAGAATACTGTGTGGCCGTGTATTCATTTATTCCACAACAAATTCTTGTTGTTACTTGGTGTGTTACGAGTACAACTCTGGATGCACAGTCTGGTTGTGTAAGAGCCCCCACCCCACCACCAGTGGGTTATTGATCTACGTGTTGTGGTGGGCACATTATCAAACGGCTGCCCTGAATGTGCCATACTTAGGTGACATAGACATTAGACTGAGCCACGACGACAAAGTGTACTTTTGAAATTGTTATTACAGACTTAGAAGGTAGTTCTGCTTGTGAAAGTTTTCTTACGCACATCAGTCCTGAAAGCAGAAGTAACAGCCACTTCTTTAACAGGCTAGGTGTGCTGACAGAATTATATTTTACATTAAGAAATTAATCTTGCCAAATACAAGTGTGACCCTTCACATCCACTGATTTTCTGTGTTAGCATTGGTAAGACTCAGCTTCTTTTTGATGCTCTATATTGGCAGTATATGATGAATTGAACATTCATTATAGAGCAACCATACATCAAGATTTTTAGTCTTTATATGTCCCCTTTCAGTACCACAGTAAGTGTGGTTCTTCACACCGAAACACAGCACTTGCAGTAGCCATAGTTATCTCAGTTCCAGTTCCTATATTCCTAAATTGGTTATTTGAGATCTCTAGTCACAAAAAGTTACGCATCTACGAATGGATTCGTGTTTACTTGAATACTGCAGATGTAAGGGGGTTTCAACTTGAGAGAAGACAAAATCAGTTTACAGAAAAATTTGTGTAGCATCACCCGCATGAAAAACAGAATTGTTTCGTCGAACAGAGAGGAAATTGGCGTCAAAGCAGCAGCATCAGCTTCTATTGAACAGAGAGGAAAGTGGCGTCAAAGCAGCAGCATCAGCTTCTTTACAGGAATATGTCACACACAAGACAAGTTGACAGTCGACCTGACATGTCTAAAGAAAATTATGGAGCAGTGCCTTTGTACAGGATTCCAGCACAGTCAATACAAGATGGGTCTGAAAAGATACCTCGTCTATCCGGGATTGGCATCGTGCCAAATGACTTTAAGACGCAGACAGTAAGGCCTCAATTTTCATATGAACTTCTCAGATCTCTCACGTCACATGGTGAAACAGAATTTCAATTTAGATTAGGAGTGACTGGTTTTGTAATCTTTCGTTACGGACTTCCGCAACAACATGAAAGCGATGTGTTGCAGCACAGTGAAAAGAGTAATTTCACTGCAGATGAATTTGCAAAAGCAGGAATTAGAATGCCTTCAGAGTGTTCACACAAACAGTGTAAAATAACAGAATCGTCAGCAGTATTGAGGATCGAATTAGAAATGCCTCTAGACCCATTGAAACCAAATCATATTGCTGTACCAAAAATACCTTTATCATCCAAACCATTGATGGCAGCAGAAGTTGCTGGTATCACATTACCTGAACATGTACCATGCAGTGTTTTAACATCATCTTCAAGTGACTTGCCTCAAATACCTGTCACTCTAGAAAATCTACCTCCCTGTAACCCACCCTCTGAATTCAAGGCTCTGATATCACAGGCAGAACTATCCCTGAACCCAGGTGTGCAGGATGTGTGGTCATCTACAGCAGTATATGATAAACAGTTGCATAATTTGGGTTCAGCTGCAGAACCTACAAGCATGCAAGATTCAGTGCCACTAGAAGCGTCTAGTGCATCTGACAGACAGCTGTGTGGACAAGTGTGCAAACCAAGGAAAACTGTTTGGGATGTGCCACACCTTTTGGTACCAATTTTTGCGCCATTGTCATCATGTTCCTTACCCGAACACGTGTCAGCTTCCACAACATGGACGCTCGTTACTGGTTATGTGGCCGTTGAGAAGTACTGCCTTATGTATGTGCCAAGTAGTGTGTTGACACCTACAACAGTAAGCGACACGCTGTCATCAAACCCTAGAGAAACGCTGTCTGGGCCATCCATGAATGTAGACAATTCTTTACCAGCACCCACTTCTAAGTCAGATTCGTTCTGCCATGGTCAGTACATTGGAAATATCTTTAGTTTGGGTTATGATAACGGAACAATAGAGTTTACAATGGACAAGAAAGAGCAGAAGGCGTCATTTTGTCGAAGTAAAGTGTATGTAGATGGGATTAGGATTGGCCACCGGTCCAAGCTTCGTGATGTTCTATCTTGTAAGATGCCTGTCACATTCAATGTGAAACAGTACAGAGGTGAGTCTTTCAGTTACAAGGCAACCGCTGTATATGTTGAAACTTTTGGTAAAGGACAGCTGGAAGTCTGTCATGTTGCAAGCGACTCAGTTGCAGGGTATGCGAGCGGATCGTCTGATGAGTCTACGAAAGAGGAAGCTACTCTGCAACAAGCAGCCACAGAAGATGAAATGTATTGTGGGTATGTGATATATCTTTCTCCAGATGTTTGGAACAGTTGCCCTGTTGAACACAGGGCTGTAAGGAAACATATGTATGACTGTGTTTGTAGGGTGTGCACTTTTGAACAGAAATTAACAAGTACAAAGAGTTGTAAAGAGTTAACAGTAAGAACAATTACTTTGCCTGGAGAGAAGAGCATTATAGCAAAAAGCACAGATAAAACCAGACAGGAAGTGACTGGAAAGACACATTTATCAAAGGAAATACTGAATACTGTTGCACCTTCAACAGATGTGGGTATGTTGAATTCAGCATCAAAGCCAGCAGTCTTAGTGGATGATCAGGGAAAAGTGAAGGTACCAAAATTATGTACAGAATTCAAACCACCAGACTTTGCAAACTCATCAGGACTTGTAGATTCATTTATATCTCGAACTCAGAAGATAACAACATCAGATAATGGCACAAATATATTTTCCACTAGGAAAACAATCACCTCTTATTCTACTATTCCTTTGAATCACCTGCCTAAATCAGCAACAAATATAACTGGAATTATAGAGTCCACGTGGTCGAGCGATGCTGCGATAATGATCTCAGCCATTCACAATGTGAAAGTAGGAGTTCTTATTTCTAGCAAAAACCTGTATGTTGATGGGAAGCAGTGTGCCATTACGGATGTGGTCAGGCAGCACCTTGTCGAGGGCACCGTGGTGTACGCAGATGTGTCTAAACTGACGAATCACCCATCAGGTGCAGCATATTTTGCAACTTGTGCCTGGAAGGGGAAGAAACCTACAAGTGTGAGTTATTGCAGCATGAGGCATTGTAATAAATGTGGAAGAAAAACAAAGAGATGTGAAGACTGCCTCAACAGGCCGTGTGCTAGCATTGTTAATCTCGCAAGTATAAAAACAAAGAGATGTGTAGACTGCCTCAACAGGCCATGTGCTAGCATTGTTAATCTCGCAAGTACCGATAGTAAGGTGAATGTGAAACATAAAGATGATGGTGTTGCAAAGAACTGTGAAGGCATGTGTAATGATGTTCAGAGAGGTGCAAACTCCTTTGTTGAAGCAGGAAAACAAAGGATAAAGAATTTGGAAGATGGAGTATTTGTTGGTACTGTACAAAGTTTTACATTGGATGATGGATTTGGAGTGGTAAATTTCCAGTTTCAGAATGAGAAGGTAAAAGCAATATTTTTCAGGGAAAGCATTTTTGCTAAAGGAGTTGCTCTTACAGATAATCAAGTAAAGGATGAGATCACTGCGGGAAGATCGGTTGATGTTAGTGCTGTTAGCCCTTACTATGGAGAAGACATACCTTATGCAGCACGCATAGACATCGAGCTTCAGGACCGGAGGAGTCATTCAGTAGTTGCAGTGAGTGGAGTGCAGGAAGAGAAAAAAGTTAAGACTATTATTACACATGATTTGGAGCTTCCAACTAGTAAATTTGCAGTTAAACAGAGAGAAATGTTTTATGAAAGCAGACTATATTATGACTGGGACAATAAGACTGAAACATGCAATGATAAATGTGAAGATATTAACATTTCTGAACTTTCTGATGAAGTAAAGACGGAGGGGACGTCGGATCAAGCCCAGACGCTTGGCGATGCAAATGTGACTGCTTCCTTGAATAACAAAGAAGAGATACAACTTCCTGTGACCCCTACACAGTACACAGGATATGCCACATATTTGAAGAGGAATGTTGCCAGAGTAAAAAGGTATGAATCTTCCACTGTGGGAGTTCTGGAATGTTCCATTTACGGTGCAGAAGTGGAGGTTATGTTCGACAAAAATGTGGTGAATTTTAGTGGAAGTAATGAAAGCACAAACCTGACAGAGTACCTGCCTGTGGGTACAGAAGTGTATTTTGAAGGCAAAGTGAGAGGAGAAGACTCGCTTCTCGGCTGTCCAGACATTGTTGTGAGTGGTGTTTGGGAAAGTACGGTGCACAAAAAGAAATCCACTTCAAAACTAACTAATTTCCAGAACCTTCAACTCACATTTCCTTCTATGCGGGAAGGCCTTGTTGCAGGCAGGGAATACGAAGGTATCGTAACCCAGATACGCCAGCCATTTGCATTTGTGGCTACAGTTGCTGAAGGCGGTAAGGCTTATGATGTTTTTGTGCTGAATAAGTTTTTCAGTCCTGTAGAATATGGGATGAAGCTTCCAGCAAAATGTCCTGTCATACCATATATAGCTGAAGGATTCAAGGTGCACATACTGGCGATCAGACAGGAAAGAGATGACAGCAGGAAGAACTGGTACGAGTGGATTGCTGTGGATGCATGGACTGAGCAAGGAGACAATGCGTTTCCAGACAATAAACCTGAACAAAGATGCATATCTAAGGAATTGAACACAGAAGACCTAGAGGGTGTAATAGTGACACTACATCCGGACCGGGGTCTTCTCAGAGTGGATCACATCAAAGACGAGGTTACATTCTTTGGACAAAGCAGTTACCTGTTTGGAATCCAATTAGCAATGCTGGATCTTTGTAAAGTGTTCAGAACTGGTAAGTCAAACCATAAAGTGCCAAAGCAGATAGAGAGTCAGTGGCATGCTGGTCTTGTTCTTGCTTTTAATTCTGTGATTTTCCTAATTTAAATATTTGGTGATGTGCAGGTGAAAGGCTGTGCTTCAAATTGGCAGAGAAGACAGCAAAGTCTGGCCTGAAGAAAGCATCCCGAGCATGGTTTGGATCATCAGATATGCATGATATTGGTCGCAGAAGCGTGAACATCTTCAACTATTGCAAATCTCGCAAAATTGATGAGGCAGTTCTTTTGATATTGGTATGTATTTGTGGCAGCATCAAATATGCTACACACAGATTTTAACTAACTCATTGGGATGAAATCCTTCTTGAGAAGCTGATAGTTACTCAGCTGGTGAAGAATCCAGTCCACAGTTTGACATGCTATATCTTTAAATATTTAATAAGCAGTTGTGGACAGTCAAGAAGGGTTCTCTCCCAGCTTATAAGTTGTCACTGATTGGTTTATATTTCACATAATGCAACTAGCAATTTGAGTTTGTGGAGTTTAGCTCTGATGGGTGTAATTAATGTTAGGGTGTTTCTGATTTTCTTCAGACAAATGAGTTGGGTAAGCAGCGTCATCACCTGGAGACTAGAGGGATGATTGAGACTTCGTCAGCTGATGAAGAGGAAGAGGGTGGTGCATGGCCTAAACCAGTTAACAAGAACAAACCGTCAAGTAAGAAGCTGTGCAGGTCTCAAGTTGAATGAGGCGCTGAGATTGTTTTTGGTCATACAATAAAATTGCCACTTAAGATGTCTCTGGGGAACACCAGTGTACTAGTTTCTTTTAATTGCAGTTGCCCAAAACTGACTATAAGTGTTGGCAAGGATAATTAGCAGGAAATCTCAAGTGCCTCATGTAAACAGGTCCTGAATTTCCAAAGTTCTGATCTGATCTAAGCACAGGTCTACCAGGTGCTTGCTTCTCTTGAGGTTTTGCGACCTAAACGTCTTTCTTCTCCTGTATGTGCTGCTGGCCCTGCCCATTTGATTTTTTATTAACTAGCGCCTTGATGCTATGTCATGAAGAGTACAAATTGTGAAGTTTGTCATGTAATTTTCTCTTTATTGCTGTTTCATCCATTTCCTTTGTTCCAAATAATTTCTGTCCAATCTCGTTCTTAAATACCTTTAGTGAGAGACCAAGTGTAACACTGATATAGGTAAGGTGGCAGGCTTCTAATCTTTAGCTTTTACGTAGAACAATAAGAATTCTTTTTTGAGACACAATTTTTTTATCGTTGCTAACAGCCTGATCTGTGTTTGTCAGGACATACTGCAGCCCTCGTTCCTGATGCCAACGAGGAAAATGGTGACCGTGAAAAACTGTATTGTAGTAACAGTCTGTCAGACTGTGACAATAACGTCATCTACGTCAGTGATGGGGAAGAAGAAAAGTATGAAATTGGATCATCTACATCAGTAATGGGGAAGAAGAAAAGTATGAAATTGGCTGCACAGAAAATTTTTCAGATCAGCCTGAATCAATGGCAAGTATCCTCCCTTGTTTCAGTGACACTTTAGCAGTAGCGTCTAATATATGCACAACAAAAATAGTTGAAGATTCAGCAGTTAATAATACTTCAGCTGTGATGTCTTCTTCTGAAGTTACTAACTTGGAAAGAACAGAAGATTTCATTGAGGATAGAACACACTTAGGAAGTACTATTAGTCCGGAATCAGAACACGATACATTACCGGTAACTGTCAGAGTCACAGAAGAGAATGGATGTATATTTCCTGTTCCTTCAACTGGAACATCTCAACAACAACAACAACATATGATTCACACTCAGAGCAGAAACGTAAAAGAAGGTCAAGTCACAAGCGCATCCACAGAGCAGTTTGAGGGTAACATACAAACTGCAAGTTGTCAACAGCTGTCAATGCTTCATCCTGAGATGCAACGAATCCTGCACCTGTCTTTATATAAAGCCCTTCAGAATTATGGCATCAAGTCAGACCTATCACAGCTCATTGCATCTCAGGCGGTAACAGTAGTAGAGGAGGAAATGAAAGCTTTCTTTAGAGACGAGTTGTTTGACAGAGTCTTGAAGAATGTCTCAGGGTTGGGTTGTGACACTGTGGACGGCCTGGAAGTCGGGGTGAAGACGAAAGAACAAGCAGTATCACAATTGTTCGTACCACTGCGAGCGGTTTCGGAAGAGTGGAGACAGATCGTGTCAGAAATTGCACCAACTCTTTGTGCAGCTGGTACACAGAACAAAGAACGAGACGCCGTAGGCCAGGTTCGGTCAGGCCCCGCACACGCCATTGATCAAGCAGCACAGACCATCTCTACAGGCAATGTCTTCTTTCTTAAAATACTGCCTGATTGAGATTTCAGGTTCTTGCACTTGCAAGTGTGATGATGCCTGTTTTCTGGCTTGTTGCAACGACCCACAAGACAGCCATATTTTACTGCCTCGTTCCTAAAGTCTTAACACTTGTGATAATATGACACTATTTTTTATGAATTTTATACTCCATCAGTTTAGATGGGAACTGAATTTTAGGTGTATTATAAATTTAATACGAGGATCTGAAAGTATATTCAGAGTAGGAGAAAATAGTGTTGTTTGTTGTGGAGGGTAAGCATAATGAAATCTTTGATGTTCTTATAGTCTTTGACTTACCTCATAATACCCTATCTTCTTAAATTGTATTTTTCATACAATCGGTTATACTTACGTAATTATGAACCAAGATGTTTGAGAGAACTGTATTTTCCCAACTGTTTTCAGATAATAAAATTGCCATTGTTATTACCAAATCATTTTAATCTTAAAATTGATTCATCTTTCCAGTGTGCATATGGCATCTCACTTTACTCTTTTCACATGTGTACACAAGTTTAAAAATGTACCCTACCTATCAGATTTAAAATGAATTTAAAAATAAAGCCATGTAGTTAGATGTTCAATGAAACAGACTTCCAGTACACATTGCAGAAAGTAGTGCAGTTTCCTTATCAATTTAAACCCTAACTGTCCTCTTGCTTTGTGTTTCTGCAGGTTCTGTTGCCACACCTCTCCTGTGCCAATCCTGCAATCCCAGCCTCCAGACACCCAGCAACTTGCAAGATCTCACCCCCAATGCAGATCCTGAAGAACCAAGTAAGTGTTTCCTTCAGAATATCATGTTGAATCATTCAAACTCCATTTTGTGTAATTAGACCCTGAGTACTGTTCTGTATTGTCATGGCAACTACAGTCACACACACACATGAACTTTCTATCCCTAAATGAAAGCTCTGTCTGAGAAGTATTGACATGGAGTGGTTAAGGATGATGTCTCTGAGCTGCTAGCAGCACAAACCCATGGAAGACCTCAGGCTTGTGAATTGGATGGTGTGGTAACACATTCTCAAACTGCTAGCAAGTTATGAAATCACACTGGGCCCCAGGTTTGACTGGATTGTGTGGAATGACCTGAGCAACTAAAAATGGGGGAATTAATTCATCTGACTTGGGACAGTGTCGAGAGAGATGTTATGAACATCGTAATGAATTCTTGGGTTCTATTAAAATGCGAGGAATTTCTTTGCTGACAAGTGATGAAGTTTCGCCTTGCAAACTTCGACTTGTACTGGTGAAAACAAGGTTTCTGAATATAGTAAGGACCTGATAACCCACTACAATGAAAAGATATCCCATTTACAGGATGACCATAAAATAATACTTCACTTTTAATACAGTATAATTTCCATTAAGTTGTCAATAATTATGTGACAGTTCATTCATGTTAATTATACAGCAGCTATGAAGATATTCACACACTCGATACAGACCACTGTTTAAGCCATCATACGTTCTGCCTCCGGACTGAAGTTTTGAATATAAGATGGTTACACTTAACAATAGCTGGCTGTCTGTGTTATAAGATGATGCTCTCTTGAGAGGGTGACTGAAAATCAGTTATGATCGCAGGAATAAACAAGATCAGGGGAAAAGTATAATTCTTGAAGACATTTCCAAGGAAAGAAGATTCATTTCTCATCTACCTTAAGGTCAACCCATGTATTAAACAATAAAATACAAGTACATGGTGAATATATTTATTGCAGCTCATACAATTTATCGTAAACAAGGGATCAACACTCTTCGTCGCTGCTCCATGTGTCAGCCGTTACATTTCTTTGAACAAAAAGCCCTCTCCTCTTAGATGATTCTTTCTTTTGAGTCTGTGATTCCAAGTGTTCATCAAATGCTGTACTCTGGCAGTAGTCAGCGGCCCAAATAAGGACATTTCTGTCATTTCCAGCACTGTACAACTCGTGGTAAAATGGGTGACAGATACAACTGTTGACAGAATTATAATGTCCTAATAGTGTGTTCACTTTAATACCCGTCTGAATCTCATACATTAAAATGTTACCATCTGATGGCATATATACCAGCTGTGGGTCACACTTGATGGTAATGTCAAACTGCATGCACTTTTTTGTATCATTTGGTATCTTCCCATAATTAACCATTTCATTATTCCCACTGAAAGTATTCCATAACCTTAACCTGTGATCTGTCCCATATGAAAGAAGGAAGAGTCCATCATGAGTGAAACACAGACCATTCACATAACCATCATGGGCAGTACTGGTGGCTTCTGAACTTGACCGCCCTTTACCATTGTGTTGGTCCAGAGACTTGAGACAACACTTTGCAGCACGGACATCCCACAGGAGCACCTTGTTGTCACAGCTACCTGTAGCAAGCAAGTATTCTTCTCTTGGTGACCACCTGCAGGCCAGAGTTGAACTTGTGTGACCACGCAACTCATGAGTGCATGATCCAGATTTCAGATCAACAAGAAGGATGTGGTTTACAGAAGTTGCAACGGCAACAAGACAATTTCTGGTAGCTATATGTGACATGTGATGCTGGAACACACGACCCTCAAAACTGAAGGTATCGGCAGGTTTCATACAGTTTGTATCCCATATTTTGAGTTGCTTGTCCATTCCACTGGTGGTAAAGAGCCCTGTGTCAAACGGGTACCACTGAACACATTCTACACTGTATCGATGAGCTGTTTGTAAGTTTCGATCCACCTCGCAGACAAGTTTGGAAGTGAAATGAGGGGAGCCTGTGAAGTTATGCAAGTCATGGATATGAAGACTACCATCTGCTGACCCAGAAAGCAAATATTTTCCTTCCATCGCATCCACGTCTAATGCATTGACTCCAGCTGTGTGGACATTTTCAATGTCTCTGTGCTTGCATAAATGTAAGTTGTATGACCTCTTTGTGGATTCTGCCCTAATAAGGGCACGTGGTTCAACTATACCTGCTCGAACATTTTCTAAACATTGAATCATTTTCAGCCCTGGTGTCTAAACAGAATAGAACATATGAAACCGCAAGCAAACAATACTACACCATACTTTTATAAAAAAAAAAAAAAGTAAAAAGAAAAGAGTCTGTGGTCAGTTACATTAGTGGTGATTTCACATATTCATATTTCGAGTGCTGCACTGTAACATAAGTTCTGAAATACGACCTCCCGGTATACAAGGGAAGAAAACTTTTCTACAAGACCTCGTGTTGTTTATATCGAGTCAGATTATATTTGATTCAATCAGAACTAAATTTTCCCCCACTGAATAGATTCTCAATAACTCGCTTTACTCTATCCGTCGTGAGCTAATGCCCCTCATGTAACACGATTGTACTGAAGAAAATAACCACTGATAATACCATTAATTATACATTAATACCAACGGTGTTATGTAACATTCGACTGTTGGCTATCCTGTTTTCAATTTAGTCCAGTCTATCGATGTATTGCAGCTTCACTGAATATTTAGCCAATAGATGTCAGGGACATTCAGTTCTGATTCAATCATTTACATTAGGGAATAATTTAATTACGGCATTTGTATGTAAAAAAGAACATGAAAAAGTTCATTACGTAAAACGTGTTGTACGTAGTTGACACAACACCAGAACTTAAAGTCCACGTCCTACATTTCAACCCCATTCAGAGACGTTGGAACAGAAATTAATTTGAAAAAGCGTTACGTTATGTAATTTAATGGGAAAATGTTTAGGTATTGGGGTGAAATACCCCTCCCTCTGTCCTCCCTGCGTCTTTCTTCGAAATGATTTTGCTAAGTTCTCAAGACACGGATAACCTACCGCAGATGTCTAGAACGGTTCATGGCATGACGGTACTAAAAACCAAAACGCACGATATAAATAACCAAGCAATATAACTAATACAACTACTCTTACAGAGCAGAGTCCTTGAGAAACTAATAGTCGCTTACCTAGTCAAGGAATCCTGTCTTTTATAGAACACGAAGAATCATTACCGTGTTCACCACCGGCCCTTATCCTGAGCCAGTTTAACCCAATCCACACACTACTTAACTAACTGACTAGATGGCTTAGGGAACCCGAAGGTTCGTCACAGAATTAACCAAAGCCCTCCACCGGCCCCTCTCCTGGGCCAGCAAAATCCAATCGCCACAAGACCCGTTTTAATTTCATCCTCCCAATTCCGCCATGCGTGCTACACGCTTCCTTGATTTCTTCAGGTGAAGCGAAGAGCCACGACATGAATATGCAATGTCTGGATATGTTAGGTTATGTTAGATTTTGATACACAATACTACGTCTGTTTCAATGGCACCTTTCGTGCCACTGGAAAAGTGTTTTGTATTTCAAGATTCCTGTCTTCTGGGCTGTTGCGCCGTGCAGTCTGGTATAAGTTTACCGACGTTTCAGAGGTTACTACCGCCTTCATCATCAGTGCGATCAGACTCACCTCTGATGCTGTTAGATGTTTTCTATTTAATATTTGTCTCATCACGACCCACAATGAAACTGGCCGGCGTGACATTGAGTTTGAATATTCGTCATTTGTTTAAACTCTTCATTCCCTTTGAAGTTGCTGTTCGTGTCATTAACACACTTTTGATTATAATAGGAATCGAACCGCGGTCTCCAAGCTAGCAACCGGGTCGGTTTAAAAGTTATTATGGTCATACGACAGTGTCATTCATGATTGAGCCACGATTTCCTTCCTAGCTATGGCTTGTGTAATTATAAAGAGAGCGTTTAGCTTGGCTGCAGATTCGGAGGCGTTTCCGAAACACAATATTTAGACAGAACACAAGTGTGACACAAAGCAGAAAGTTTCAGGTGCCACTTAACCACCACCAAGGTTTTTTTTTCCAGTAAACCTTGGCGTGGATGGGAGGATAATATTAAAGCGGGTCTAGGTGGAACGGAGAGAGAGAGAGGTGGATGGAACTGAAGTCGTATCACATAAGCAGGTTCAGCGCTTGCTTTAACCGTGGGCTCTCCACAGGTCCGGTTTTTATTATTGTTTATTTGTTTAGAGAAGCCCGTTATTCGAGAGAGTGAGGTTATAATGGATGGAACGAACGAGAGATTCAGCAGTTCATTTGTAGTTCAAATGCAGGCTTTATTCAGCCTCTAACAACAAAGAAAAATAATCCAGGAAAGGCGTAACCTGTGTCACTATCGGGATTCGAACAGGGTACCTTCAGAATGCAAGTCAAGAGCCTCCCAGGAGGTTCATTGCCGCGTTCACAAGAGCCCGCCACAGTCGGTCGTTGATGGCTAAGGGTGGAGAGTACAGATTACGTCACTGACCTATTTCGTTTGAGAGTCGGACGGGGTCAGGCGTGTGCTTCAACCCTCTCGGCGAGTTGGATCGAGTGTCACCGCGCATTCCAGGTACACGGCAATTGCTTTTTGTTAACTAATACGTTCTTTCAGGACGCTGTTTTGTTCCTCTGGAGACAATTCCGCTGATGCTAGGGGAAGGAGCACAAGTCTTGAAAGTTAGGGAGCTGTTGATTCGAAGCCCCGTGTCACTTTGTGGCCATAGAAAATGTTACGTTGTATAGGAGATGAACCATTGTCAAAATATTGTTGCATTTTGCCCGTCCTTACTTCGAAATGTCCCTTGCTGGGCTTAGCTCGATGTGCACTGAGGAAAACCACGAAAACGGCAGTCAGGATAGTTGGAATTCTTCGGAGTCCTCCCCAGACGGGCCTCCCGATCCGCACTGCGTAGCCTTGTAAGGTAAAACCGACAATGATGTCATAAGTCATTACGTCAGAGCCACCTTTCCTGGGACACCGGACAGTCGTAGAATTCAGTTTCTGATAAGCTGTTTCACCTTCATTACTGAGTGTGTGCTTTGGCATTAACAAGTCCCTTGTAGAATCGAACCCGAGACCCTTCCGCCCGGTTCGAAGTTCGTAACTCCTTTCACAGACTTGTCAGTTACTCACGTCGTCGATAATCGATCTATTGTTCTATTCGGAGGTAAATAGCTTCTGCGATTGATTTAACGTCGGTGAGCACCTGTTCAAATACGGAACGTCGTAAACTAAGATATTGGGCCGTGTAGTCTGATGGAAGTTATCGACGTTTCAGAGGTTTCTGCAGCCGCGGTGATCTCCTTGGATGTTATTTGTTAATCTTTCCGAACCTCACAGTAAACGGGCAATTTTTTCTTAATGTTATGCAAGTCGCGAGTTACCAGGGACATTTAAAAGGAAAAAGTTGTTTACCAATGGCGAATTCATAGTCTACAAGTTAGACCGAGCGAAAATGCAGTGTTATTAAATTCCCGAACAATCGCATAAGAATTCTAAGTCGTTCGTTTGTCTGTGTTGTCCGAGAGCAGTCGTGTTTACTGTTATCCCGTAGTCAACGCGGCAGAACCCGGTTCAGCCGAAAGCTTCCGTATAAACGAAAACAAAGCCGCAAGACGACCAAGTCACACGGCGGCAGTCGGAGAAAACAATGGCGCGCCGACCGGTTGGTTGGAATTTATTTATTCGGGAAGTGAACTACGGTCAGATGGGACAACAGATTCAGGGATCGATCGAAAAGGGCAAGGCAGTTTCAAATCATGTCAGATATTAAAGGAATAATATGCAAAGCAACAAAATGTTTCAAAACATTTTACGCTGTTACATGGACCCTTAGATAAAACTGGCGAGATGTGTTCGAGGGAACTTGGAAGGAAAAGAATTACAAATGGCGTCTTTAGAAACGAAGTTATCACAAGTAACGTCGTGGGTTGGGCCAACTGGCCCTTCCTTCCTTCCATCTATTCCTCGGTCGTCCCACATTTCTTCCGAAATGAAGCTCGAATCGAAAATTTGTTGCGGTCAGAACAAGGATGCTGGGATTGCGCACTAGAATTAAAGCTCGAAGGAAAGAATCCATGGGACGACCCAGAACAAGATGGTTCGGCCAGAAAACGACGAGAAGACGCGAAGGGCTGGCAAGAAGGCGTTGAGATCGGACGGACGCCAGCGCGTGCTTCGAGTCCGTGTCGCCTCGACGTCGATAGCGCGATTAAGGCTTCGACCGGGATGTTCTTTTGTTAAATCTTATGTGGTACCGCCTGATTCGACTTCTAATGGTTAAGTGAAGTGTTTTCTTCGCGGTACGGTCTGGATTCGTAAATAATATTCAGACGAGCTTCGGCTTCAAAGGGTTAACCAGCTGATTTTCGTAATGGTGAGGTGTAGTGTTTTCTTCGCGGTACGGACTGAATTCATAAATAATATTCAGACGATCTTCGGCTTCAAAGGGTTAAGGGCGTCGGAGATGGGAGGACGCCGCCCGTTGTTACTGTAGCGGCCACGCAGGACGACTTTTAAGCGTGGTCTCTCGACGGCTGGCACAGTTGCTTCCTTCCACATCCCTGCTCTTCGTCGCCCCTCGACCCGTTCGTCTCCTTCACATCTTCCATCTTGCAGATGGCCTTCGCCCCGCGAAGAAACACCAGTCGATGATTATTCTTCTGCACGAGGAGGATGTGACGTAGCCGTTGTGGGACGAGCAGGAAGTTCCAGCACTGCATGCGTGTCACTTCCTGTGCTACTGACGAGATAAGTCGCTGTCAAACCGGTCCCCTTGTGTATGTGACTGTCTGCCGAAATATCGGCACGCAAAGGAAAAGAATTCGTGCGTGGTTTATTTAACGATGCCTCGTCAACTGCGCTGGTTACATGACGTCTAGCGAGTTAACGAGTTGAGAAGGACGCGGTCGTTCTTATGCCATCAGTCGTCTGTTGTGACTGAATAAACTCAAGATGACCGCGCATAACAGAACCTTAACTTGTATATCAATGCTGTGCTTGGAGAAGCAGGCTCCGAACGCGAAGTTGGGATAAATCTACAATGATCCGAAGTTCGCTGTAGTCGCACGAACTAGACCAAGGAAGTCCATATCGGGACGTGTCCTAAATGAATCATTTGGTGACTCATTCACGCAGTTCTTGGTTCGTGTCCCAGACACGATTCAGATTCTCTGGAGCGTCGGGTCCAAAGGCACTGATAATGACGCATTTTATCTGTAGTCACCCAGAGCTAAAACCCTGCCCACCGTTGACTCGAATACTCTCCTCTTCTGACAACGCGTCCCAAGAGTTATTCTTCACTATTAACACATCGGCATAAGCGGCAGATTTTCTATTTATTTATGGAAAATTCACTGTTTCTACACAAGTCAAGTCTCTTTTGGATGTCACTGTGCCTTAAATGTGCGTTCGTGGGATCTGTTACGCAGGAATTTGAATGCGTGGCCTTCGTTAACACGATGGTCAGAAACGGGAAGATACTCCGAGCTCACCAAAACTCAATTACGTGAGGTTAATCAAATTGTCCTTTTCTCGTCTATTAGTCGATTAAGAAGTGTGGCCTTGCACTCATTCGTTACAAATTCCTTCAGGCTCAACGAACTTACAGGTCTGTCGTAAATAATAAGCCTAATGTGGTATTGTCTGTCTGTCTGTGTGTGTGTGTAGAGACGTAAGACGTTCGACGTTTTAACTGGGATGAAAATTTTGATCGTGGTTTTCTGGGTTATGTAGGAGATTATGAATGTTCCAGAGGGACATCGCGACCATCTTCAGGGTAGCAGTGTCTCGCTGTTGCTACGCGTTCCCATAGATAAGTTACGTCACTCGACCTGAGTGGCCTTGAAGCAGTGATTAGCACTTGAACACATCGCCAGGACGGCAAATATTTGGTGTCGGGACAACGAGAAACGCCTTTCAAGGCTGCGAGTGTGACGTCGCACTGCCGTTGCGAAAGGGGCCCTTTGGTCGCCGAAATTACTCGACGTGTTGCAGAAATTGGTCTCGAACTCTCGCTTAGGAAGCCAATCGCTCACTGCACTCATCGGCGGGGCTCTCCCCGTTGTTTTGTACGGGCGTTTAAGGAAAGCACGTGGCCTGAGGGAGGTGTAACGACCAGTGAGGACGAGATGGGCGGGACATGTAGAACGGAGAGAAAATCACACATACATGTGTACTCAGTTATAGTCGAATAGTCTGAAAGAATGAGACATGGGCGATGTTGGTGCCCCGGAGTCTGCTATAAATTAACCGACGTTTCAAAGGTGCTTGCTGCCTCCATCGTCAAGGTGATGAGTCGAAAATTGGATTGGATTTAACTGGTTCAGAACAGAGCCCAAAGGCGCAAGAAATTTCATGACCAGCTAAGCAACTGATGGACCCCGGATAACGAAGAGTCAGACCGCGCGCTGAATGATTGGCTGCCATTCAACACCGTAGCCGCGGTGGGAACGTTCTATTTTTGAGTTGCCAAGAAACCAGCGGCGCATTGAGGTCGGACGAACCTCCGCATCCCTTGAAATCTGCGCGCACACGAAACAACTGCAGCCGAACGAACGTTCACCTACGACGTGCCACAACTTTCGAATACAGGTTATGCAAAAATGCAGTAACTAGCCCAGACACTAATAAATTATCCCCGGGTTAAAGTCGCGCGTCAGTCTTGATGCGAGTTAAATTTATGGCAGTGAGGCCGAAGACGGCCATCTCGAAGCAACTGTAACCTGAAGTGACGATTTGTGGATGGAACGACGATGTTGAAGTGAATCAGAACAAATCTGCAAGGAATCCCTTCTGCTCTGTGTATTTATTTACTCGGCCGAGAACTTCTCTGAAGTACGGATTTTAAAACCTCATCTCCGTGTCGACAAAAGCCGGTCTGAGCTCATCCGGTTCCGCCCAGTTTGGTTTACAATACCAGATTTTGTGGTTTCGGCGACGAAGGATGTAGAGAGACGGACGGTACTTAAGTCAATGCGGCGTCCTCGTAATTGATTTTGTAGCTCGGGTGAGGGAGGCACAGTTGGAAAGCTGCCCCTCGAAAGACCACAAAGAAGACCTCTTCATCAGCTGGTTCTGTCCCGCTGCCAGATGATACGAGGGTGGAGGCTACGTACCGGAAAGGGAACTGACTACGAGGGTTAAGGCTAAAGCATTGTTCCGAGGTGGATAGCCCCAACTGGTACTCTTGCGGATCTGGAAGGTCCATCGCAGGATTCCAATTATCCCTATCCTGAAGCAGATGAATCCAGCTGGATCCACGCACCCTGTAGAAATACTATTACCCTATTTAATATTATGCTCCCATTTATGCCTTGAAGTCTCAAGCAATTTTACCTTTCAGTTTTTCCGATAAAAATTTTGTGTGCATTTATCACATGCAATGCAGCGTCGAATGACAAATGGAGTGTGGACGCAGCTTTATCAAAAACGTTGGGATTTCTGGCTTTAGGGTCGTCGGTGTAACCCGAGACCTCGGAATAAGAAGTACGAGTCGAGAAACACTGCGTGAGAAATTGTGTTTCTTTTCCACAGGCTTTACCAAAGTGTTCTGATTGGCCTGAATTCGGAAAGAGCTTGGCGGGGGAGTTGGCTACCCCGTCGCGTACTTTCCAGGTTTTAAATAGCGCCCGACTATCCACGCTCCGGTTGGGAAACCCGACAGTTGGAAAACTGGAAAGGAGCCAGATTATTAGGCGAAAAAAGGGAGACGCTACTTTTCCAACGCAAATTTTGTAAGACGGAAATTTCCCCCTCCGACAAATCATACATAAACCAGCGTAAAGGCCCAGGTGGAAATCGTGTTGGCTGCTAATTCTCGATTCCTTTTCCAATGATATCAACCTTATTCTTGCAAGATTTACACTTGCCGAAGGTCTAGTAATTCAGCTGCAGGAGACCGGAATCCGACGCCACACTTCTGCCCTTGTGCGGCGACACTGGACTTAAGTCTGACTCGGAAAGCCGCGGGGTTTGCAAAGAAAGCCTCTCGCAAAATTAAGGTACGAATGTCGGAGAAAAAAAATAATGTTTAATGAACCACTTTTTATTACTTACATTCTGATTTTATACACACATTGAAAATATAAATCAGTGAATTCTACGTAATATCAATGTTTTGGAAGCGACTACTACGATAACCATAACCTTCTCTCTGACGCAAGGCAATTTGCATAGTGACCTTGAATAATTGCAGAGCCGCGTTTATGAAATATCACAGGTGGAGACTACAGTGAAAATTAGCAGCTCTGGCCTGGCCTAGGCAAGCACGCAGCAAATCTGGGAATGTGGAAGTGCCAACATAAAAGCAGCTAATGAATTTTATCCTTGCCAAAACAGAAAGTGCTACCACCTTCGAGAATTAAAATTCGCTTACGTCCTCTCCCATTTTCATCTTTGGCACGCGCATTTCATACAAATGTTTGCTAGTAACAAACGCAGCATCCAGGATTAGTCTCAAATTATTCTAATGAAATAAATAGAGAACGAGAGATAAGTAAGACTCATGCGAACTACACAACACATGTTCAATAATTTACTTATATTTGGTAATGAAACAGTTCACTGAACTGAATTAGATCAGCGTCTAACTAGAGTTCTCAACTTGTGGTTGAGGTGGCGCCTTGGAGTCTGTGTTTTCAGGAGCAGGGACTTCCCCTGCCTCATCTTCAGCCACAGACGCAACTTTCTCGCCACCTTCGCCTGCCCGCGGTTCCTGTTCGCCCACTTCCGCCGGAACCAGCTCACTCACTTCACCGGATTTAACCTCCGCGCCCTCACTGATCTGCTGCTCGAGGGGCTTCGCCGTCACAGCCCGCGAAACTCTATCGTCCTCGGCCGGCACTACTTCCATCGCGCCCTCGGCAGGAGTTTCTTCCGTCGCCGTGCCTTCTGAAGCCTCGCACGGCTGACATGCTTCTCCGATGTCCATGGCCGCCTCTTTGTTTTCTTCAGGCACAGGAACTTTCCCTTCGAGCAGACTAATGCACCCCTGAATGGTTCGGATGGCCTCTTTGCGTGCCTGACGCACGTCGTGTCTGCCTTCCGTAACGATGTCATCGAGCTTCAAGAGGTTTCTTGTCAGCATTTCGTCAAGGTAGACGTACTCCTTGTCCCTCCTCGAGAGGCCAGAGAACTTGTTCACCTGGGCCTGCAACTCCTCCACATCTTTTTGTATGGTTTGGACTCGGGAAATGGCGTCGCTGGCCGCAGGAGCCTCGGGCTGCTGCTGCTGTTTGGGAGACGACGGCTGTTGAAAATTTCTACCGCCTTCTGGTGGTTGGTGCTGAGGGTAGAACTGCCGCTGCGAAGCGAACTGAGGGGGTCGACCAAAGCCGTGTGGCGATTCTTGGGGAGGGAACGCCTGCTCCGCTCCAGGCTGCGGAACCTGTGATGAGAAGACCCGCTCTACATTCTCTGGCCCGACGTTCCTGGGAAGTATCGGCTCATCTCTTCCCTCAACAAAAATCGGAATGTGTCTCACATTCCCGGTATGTGCCTGTTTTGTAGATGTGGCCGGCTGTGGCTGTGGCTGTGGTTGTTTTGGTGCCACCGGCGGTTTCCCATGGCTTTCTGAAGTAACAGTCCCTGGACCAGCAACTGACGCCGGGTCTGCAGGGTTAACCGGATTGATCTCAATGCGAGACACGTAGCGCTGCGGCTGCTGTGAACGGTTGTCAGGCGGTGCAGACATTGACCTTTGACCGCGACCTTGTTTCTCTTGCTCAGATTCATGCTGCTGCTGTCCAAGGTCAACCGTATTCCTCAGTCCATGTTGAGGAATGTTTCCCTGACGAGATCGCCCACGAAGGGGACCTGGTTCCTCCCCCTGTTCCTGGTGTTCACTACTGGAACTGCTGGCACCACTGGCCTGGCTTCGGGCATCGTCGTCTCCTGATCCTGACCCGCGTCGCTTCCGTCCCCACGTATGGGCGCCTCCCATCTCGCCGGCCCATGGCGGACATCGCAAGTGATCGGCAAATTCTGGGTGACGCTGTGCCAAGTCGTCCAAATGTGACCTTATGTCCTGACGCCCTCTAGACATCGTGTCGTCTTCAAACGGGAATCCAGTCTGCAAGTGTAAAAACATCACGGTAAGTTTTGTTTTGTCTTCCACACACTTCACATGAGGTCTTTAACATATGCAAGAACCATCTTAGTGGACCGTAGATTACTAACCACTGAATGCATGTACAAGGGATTTCAAATTTTATACTCGCATCTAAAAATACTAGAAAGAAGTCAGTGGTACTGTGACTGGATGTGGGGCTGGCTCTTTCGCTAATCCAGTTCCCCAGCCAAAAAGCACTAGTACAAGTGCACTGACTGAGAATGTGGAGCGATACCTTCACTCCCCCATACATCTTTATGGCATCGTGCTTAATTAAACACAGGGGCAACTCTGAAAATGCAAAAAAGGGCGTGGCAATGTTATTTGTGAGCTGCTACCGCGTCCAAATTTTAAAGCCACTGAGCTCCTCAGAGAGAAAGGCCACAGGTCCCTTGCCACTAAATATTTATAGTTACCGTGTCCATGTTGTCAGATGTAAAAGCGTGCAATATATATATATAGAACTGTCTTCATTATTTAATTCCACGTTTATTAAAATAGCTATCAATTAAAATAGCAAATAATTTCATATTCCGAAGTTGCGTTTACATTCGAGACGCAAATCTACCTTAAATGAGCCTCGAAGCAACTATTTCGAGATGGCGCTTTTATGTTTCGTTACGAAAGAGACGAGAACCAGCGGAATGTTGCGCACGGCAAGCACGAGTGTGCCAAAAATAATTTGAACTCTCGTTCACGATGGATTCCATTGTGCTCGTATTTTGGGCTTAGTTTTACTACCAACTCAACAGCGCAATCCACTCGTGCATGAACAAATAATTTCCACTTTGCCCCCGTACGAAGACCTAAACAAAGACGCTACGCCCAGCGCATCGTTCACTTTTGCTTTCTGAATATTATGTACGTCACAAAACAGCTGGTAATTACATTTTAGCGTTGTCAAACCTAGGCTACACCCGTATTCTGTAATCGCACTCCCTAGACGAAGCAATTCCACTTGTAAATGTTAATCAACTTTAAACCTCTCCCCCCCTCTGCCATTTACGTTCCGTGCAACACGTAATACGAATGCAGACGACGACTGCCACGCATTTTATTAGTTTCGTTCCGAATTACGTTTAGACACGCACTTTTTAGTACACCAATTCATTCGGCGTAACCAACATTCTCTCTCTCCCACCTCTTACGTCGTAATTATTCAAGTGCTTAAGACGAACAAAACTCATACTTACTCCTTGCAAGTTAATGTTCATAAATTCCGGGAAGGGAGCACAGAAAATACGGAGCTTACGGCCTGGATAAACGTACGCACAGCCGAAACCTTAATTAACACGCCGTGCGACAGGTTCCTTCATTTCACACGAATTACAAGAACACAAAACGAAAGACCGTACTTCGATCCTCGGCATAAACACTTCCGAAAACAACTTTAATGCTACCCATCCCGGAAAAAGGTAGACCACGTACAGATTAGAGGACAGGCTCCCGTTGATCTCCAGCTCTCAAATCCTGCACTGCATACAAAGTACACCCAGGCATTGCGACACCGAAAAACCGAGTATCCTGGCCAGAAACTATATTCAGCAGCACGAGAAGCGCGTAACCGCAATTGCTGCTTCGCGTTTACGAATGCCGCGTTCCCTTCTCAATCAATAAGTTAAACTAGGAACTTCTGCCTAAATGATGTCCACTTTCTACGCATCGCTTGTGCCCTCACACAGCACGCGCGCCTGATAGCTAGACAACCCAACTGACTGCTGCGCACTGTGTGCTATCGCACACATGGCACTTAACCTTAAAACTAACGCTAAACTATACAATGATTTAAATAGAACAGGTCCTTGTTGAATATGTGCATCCCAATTTATTCAGATTCGAGACTCATCCGCCTCGACAATTCCTTTGTGACGAGAGACGCCACTCAGAAACGAGAGAGAAAATTGGTAACTCACTTTCCCTCTATTAATAAACAAGGCCGCCGTACCAATTAAACGATCGCTGGCCAAACGCCTGATACAAAAACAAACATGTCGCAAAGCAAATTCCTCAATATCCTGAGAGCCTACCGGATACTGCTGTGCTGCAAACTGGAAATAATCCGGTGACGTATCCACGATTACTGGGGGTTCCATTTCACACTCTCACTTTCACCGCCTGCCACTTCGCAACTGATCGTGCAATCGCGGCGGTTTCCTTTAAATACTTATTGCAGTCATTTATGGGCGTTTATTCAAGGTCTTGTGGACAGACGCGATCTTTCTAGAAAGAATTCGGGGGGGGGGGGGGGGGG